CGCGCGCGGCTGCTCCCTCTCAACCCTTTGCCCAGTGCGCGTGCGCCCCCAGCGCGGCCTCATGGCCCTTGGTCGGCACGGGACGGTCGAGCGCCGGCCTCACCGGCTTCTGTGGCAAACCTGCCGGAGGGCCGAGGGACGCCGGCACAGGCCAGACGCCGCTGGGAGGCAGGGGTGGGGGCTGGGCTAGTTTTTTTCTGATGGGCCCGGGAGGGCATACTTACGGAAGCAGGTTCCAGGGTGGCCGGGCCCCGGGGGATGCGTGTTTTTGAAGGGTTGCCCTTTCCCATCTTTGGGCATGTTCGGAGATTGCCACCCCCCGTTTGTCTTGTACCCTCCACCCGCAGGGACGCAGGACGTGAGACTGTGAACGGGGTACACACAGCTCCGCTTCTGTGTTGACATTATTGGTGGTCCGAGGCTTTCAGAGTTTCCCTCCCCAAAATTGAAAGCAGGGGCCGCCCTTGGCCTGGGAGAAATGGCCGAAATTGCCCGAACCCCCTCCACGGAACAAAGAATTAGTGAAAGGCTCGCAGCCCAGCCCCAGACAGTGGGCCACCTGCTGTTTGCCTTCTCTTTTTTCCCCTGACTGGTAGAAGCAGCTTTTGTTTCTGAGCCAGCTTTAACGGTTCCCTCCCCTTTGCTTCAGGTCCCTGGTGAAAGAGCCGGCAGGACACCTGCCTCATGTTCAATGCCAGCTGGTGCTGGGGGTATGCAGCCTGGTTGTGGGCCCAGAAACTGGCTGGGTGAAGCCAAGTTAAAGCAGAAACGATGCTCCGTCCTCCAAGACGCGGGAAGTGGAGGGGTCGCTAGGCCTTTGCTAGCCCCGTTTTAGAAGGAGGGAAGTGAGCTGGGAAGGAATATTGACTGTTCCACACAAGCTCAGGTTCTGGTTTTCAGTTTCCAAAAAGTGCAGGGCAGTGATGGGAGCAAAACTGTGGGACTCCAAATGTGTACAGGAATTAGCTGGACCCTTTAACTTACTCATTGACATAGTGGCACTACAAACTGTTTCTTAGGGACACATGCACATTCCTTTTCACTACCATCTACTGTGACATCACTCCCTCACAGGCTCTTTAGGAAACCTAAATCCTCTTAGTTCTGTCGTGAGTCAGTGGGGAGGCCTCAGACTAGGTACCAGGTGCCTCATTTAATTCTAAGCATGCTCGTGTGCTTGCTTGCTTTTAGATCCAAGGGCTGAGGCAGGTCTCTTTCTTGTCCTTTGTTAATTTAACAAGCATCTCTTCAGCATCTGCTAGGTGTGTGGCACTGCTGGGTCCTGACCATTTAGCTAGGAGTAAGACCCTGTGGCCCTCTCCTCCTGTGTGACAGCGGAGGCACCAGCCCTCACCCTGTTACTCCTGGGTTTCAGGTGGTGACATACACTGAGAAGTGCAGGGACCTGTGAGGGCTGGTAGTAGGGGTGCCTGACTGAGGCTGAGGCAGGTCAGGGAGGGCTTCTTTGAGGAAGTGACAGCTAGCTGAGCCCTAACAGTGGAACTGGAAAGAACAGTCCAGGCAGTGGGAATTCCAGGAGCCTGTGCAGAGGCCAGAGGAACCAGAGAGCAGTCTGCAGCTCAGGAGCTGAATCAAGGCCAGCATGCCTGGGAGCCTGTCAGGGCCTCAGCTGAGTAGGACCCCACTCTGAGGCTCTAGTGCTAAACATGGGGGTCTGGAGGTGGGGGGTAGCTCCAAAATGGGGGGCTGAACAGATGCTACTTTAGGTTTCCCATGGCTGCCCCGAAGAGGTGAGGTCCTGAAATGGGAGAGGAGGGGGCATGGGGTCTAGCTTCATTCCCCGGTCTCTGGCCTGAGTGACCCACCAGATACCTACCAGGTGTCCCCCTTTCCCCCAGCGGAAAGAGATCTAGGGGGATATGATGTAGAACTGTGGTATTTTCCTGGAATGTAAGTTCCTGGCCTCCTCACCACTCTCTGAAGCCCCCTTCTGAACCCGGCGACTGGGCAAGAGCACAGGCAGATTTTCCTGAATGCAATGGGGGTGCTGAGGAGTAAGACAGACCTGGCCCTGAGCTCTAGCCCTGCCCCTAGGGACATGCAAGCCTCGAATTATTGATTTCCTCCTCCAGAAAATGGGAGTGAGCGAGTGTGTTCTTTAAAGAATTGTATTGTAGGAGTAGAGTGACCCTATAGACTGTCCCCTGCGGGCTCACCCACCCACCTCTCCATCTTGATGATTTGCCTGAGCTTCATTCCCAGAGTCTGCTCACAGTCACATGTTTTCTTTGTGAAAACAGTCTCCCTGCTCTACATTTTCTGTCCAGGCAGGAAACAGGACTTGGGAGAAGTTAGTTCCCTTACCTAATGAATAATTTTTGGGGGTGTGCAGCATAGAGATTATTTTCCTAGAAGGTCTCGTTTTAAGTAGAAGTAGACTTAGGAAAAGCAGAACAGCATCCCTGTCTACTGATGAGAAACAAAGGTGTAGGGAAAGACCAGGTCCAAGGCAAGTATCTGTCCTTTTGCATCTCTTCAGACCCTCCAGGCTCCACGTTGGGCACTGGCTCCCATCCCCACAACCAGCTGTGCTCCCAGGTAGGCCTACCTCCAGAGAAGGGCTGTGATGCTCATTTGTTTTCTCATTCACTAAATATCAGGAATGTCTTCCCATGTCAGTACAGATCTGAAAAACTTGTTTTGAAAATTGAGATACAATTTCACATTCCATACAGTTCACCCTTTAAAAGCTTACAATTTGGCAATTTTTAGTACATTTCACAACATTGTGCAACCATCACCATTCTAGATCCAGAACATTCTCATCATCCCAAAATGAAGCCCTGTGCCCATTAGCATCGCTCCTCATTCCCTCCCGAACCCTCTGCACTTTTTAACAGCTTTATTGAGATAGGGTGCACATACCACATTTAAAGTGTACAACTGAGCCCTAGCCAGTTTGACTCAGTGGTTAGAGCGTCGGTCTGTGGACTGAAGAGTTCAGGTTCCATTCTGGCCAAGGGCATGTACCTCGGTTGCAGGCTCAATCCTAGGCCCTATCTGGGCATGTGGTGGAGGCAACCAATTGATGTGTCTCTTTCACATGTTCCTCCCTTCTCTCTCTCTCTGAAAAGCAATGGAAAAAATATCCTTAGATGAGGATTTGGAAAAAAAGTGTACAATTGAGTTTTTAGCATATTCACAGATAACAGCCATCACCACAGTCAATTTTAGGACATTGTCATCACCCCCAAAAGAACCCAAGACAACTATCACTGCCCTGTGTCCCCATCCCCAGCCCTAAGCAACTACTCATCTGCTTTGTGTTTTTATCTCCCTGTTCTCATTTTATTTTTTTTAAACAACAGCAATGGGTGAGGGTGACTGGAGGTGAAGAAATGTTGGCAAGTATTGGGGCAGGGGTCCTTCCCTCTTTGCCTTTCCACTGCCCTGGGCACATGAACTGAATGTTCACATAAGCCAGTGCAGAGCATAATAGAAAAGTGGGTCTTTCAGAAGAGTCCTTAGCAGCCTTAGAACTTGAGGCAGTTGCTGATTCTGTGCCGAGGCACACTGTCCTAAAGAACGTAGCCAGGCCAAGGGAAGAAGCACAGGTTCCTATGACCTGGCCCAGTAGGAGGTCCCAGCCTGAGCTGAGTGTGCCATTGGTTTCCTTCTGCCTGTATCAGGTCCCACCCTGCCCTCCATTGGCCCTTGTCTGCTGTGTGCCCAGACATCTGGAGCAGGACTGGAGAGGGCAGGCGTGCACTTGCTCAAATTAGGGGCTTATCCCAGAGGTTCCCCATGCCTATCAGCAGTTACCCTCCATCCTCTTCAGCCCCTGGCACCCACAAATCCACTGTTCTGGACATTTCACATAAATGAAATCACACAGTGTGGCCTTTTGTGTCTGACTTCTTTCACTGAGCATGATGTCTTCAGGGTTCATCCATATTGTAGAGAGTGTCAGTGTTTCCCTCCTTTTTGTGGCTGAGTAATATTCCATTGTGTGTGGATGGGGTCATGTTGTTTATCTGTTCATTAGCTAGTGGACATCTGGGTTGTTTCCACTCAGTGCCTATTGTGAATCCTGCTGCTGTGAATATTTGGGTTAAGTTTTTTCGTGGACATATGTTTTCAGTTCTTGGGGAGATACCTGGGGGTGGAATTGCTGTTTGATCCTTTGAAGAGCTGCCAGACTATTTCCAAAGTGGCCGCACAAGTTTATATGGCAGTACTGTTACTGCATGCTGGGTCCTGTGCTGGTCTTGTCCAGCATGGTTGTGTTCACTGGGCTGTGCAACGGCCCTATGGGTGGGTGGTGGTGTATCCTAGGAGCTGAGCAGGATGCAAACTGTCACAGCCAGGCCCTCAGAGCTCTTGCTTTCCAGCTTTCCCAACAGGTCATGCCTGAACAGTTGTTTGGTGTCCTGGCCCCAAATCTTAACATGAGATTTTACTGCCCTGCCCCCTGGAGATTCTAGTCCCCAGTGCTATAACCACTAGAAGGAAACTGCTATTAGGACAGGTCCCTCAAATACCTGTTATCATTGGGATTTTTCTTAAGAACATGGCCTGTTTCTGTTTCTGGAATGCTCTGAAAATGGCAGCCAGGCTCCCAGGGCTAGACCCTATCCCTCTGTAATCCAGGCATTCATCCCTGCTGTCAGCCTTCGCATCTGCTGTGGGCCTGGAGTTGGGGGTGTGGGGTGGCCCCGAGCGTCCTGTGGCCACTGACTCCTCTCTGGCCGCAGCCCAAGTGGGAAGAAGTTCCGCAGCAAGCCGCAGCTGGCACGTTACCTGGGCGGCTCCATGGACCTGGGGGCCTTCGACTTCCGGACAGGCAAGATGCTGATGAGCAAGATGAACAAGAGCCGGCAACGGGTGCGCTATGACTCCTCCAACCAAGTCAAGGTGAGCCGCCCTACCTCGCTCCACCCAATCATACTGGAGTTGGGGTCGGGGGGAAGAGAGCTAATACTGTAATCGAGTTTACTTCTAGTGTTGAAGTTATAACAATTCACTGAGGGAAGTTTGGAGTCCACAGAAAAGGAGAAAAAAGAGACTGTGATTCTGTCCCTTGAGAGGTCCCTGGCTGCTTCTGGTGCCTGTGGCACTTTTTCTCCCTGCACAGTGTCTTCAACAGGTGACAACCCACATGGGTACCCAGTGACACTGTCCCCCAGCCTCTGATGGACACGTGTTCAGTGGGACTTGGACCCCTGTCCCTGCCCTCAGGACAGCTAGCCAGGGTGCCCACAGGCTAGTGCTTCACAGAGAATGAGGCACAGGAGGCAAGAACTGGGCTGGTGTGGGTCCAGAGCCCCATTGAGGACATCAAATAGGGCCTGGACTTGGCATCACCTCCAGGTCCAGGTCCCCATTTGCCACAGGGTGTGCTAGTGACTGGGAGACACAGAAATCAGGCTCCCGGGGTTTTGGGTGCCAGTGTGCCTGTCTTCACAGGGCAAACCTGACCTGAACACAGCCCTCCCTGTCAGGCAGACAGCATCCATCTTCAAGCAGCCAGTGACCAAGATCACCAACCACCCCAGCAACAAGGTGAAGAGTGACCCCCAGAAGGCTGTGGAGCAGCCCCGGCAGGTGAGCACACACCCGGGCCAGGTCAAGCCCAGCCCTGAACCCTCAGTTCCCTCCAAGCTGGGTCCACCCTTTTTTTTTTTTATAGGCTTAATTCAATTTCCCTTTTTTCTTTATTGATTGAGGGGGCATGGTGGGAAACATCAATTTGTTGCTCCACTTATTTTATGCATTCATTGGTTGATTCTTACATGTGCCCTGACCGGGGATTGAACCCACAACCTTGGTGTATCAGGATGATGCTATAACCAACTGAGCTACCCAGCCAGGGCATCAATTTATTTTTCTTGTGTAAAATTATGTGGTGGCCACAGTTGGAGCCTGGGTCCTCTGCACAGAAACTCTGGTGTGAGTCTTTACAAAATGGTCAGTGAATTCCTGATAGGGTGAACACAGTCTCTTTTCAGAGGTGAGATAGCTGTAGGTCTTAGAGATGGCATCAAAGGTGGCTTTGGCAGAGTTACCCAGGGTGGCAGTGCAGCCCCTGGCCGAGGTGTAGCAGTCGTTGATACCAGCCAGCAGCAGCAGCTTCTTGGGCATAGGCTGAGACTATGCAAGTGCCCATGGGGACAGGGATGAGGTGCTACCAGCACAGAGCTACAGTAGCTAGTCATCTTGCAAGGGATGGTGTGGGGCTTGCTGACCTTGTTCCACCAATAGCCTCACGGCACTGGTAATAGAGAACTTGGCCAGGGTGATGGTCCCACGAATGGCAGTGGCTACTTCCTTTGAGCACTTAACACCCAGACTAACATGTCCATTGTAGTCCCCAGTGGTGACAAATGCCTTGAACTGGGTCCTTTGGCCAGCCAGTGTCTGCTTTTACATGGGCATAATCTTCAAAACCTTGTCCTTGAGGCACGCCCCCAGGAAAACAATGATCTCAGATTCCTTGATGAGCAGGAAGAAGAGATAGATCTTCTCCAGGGACTTGATCTTTATGTCCTTTACCAGGCGGCAGCTCCTTGACAGGGTCCACTCCTTGTCCTCGGCCTTGCCTCCGAGAGCTCTGTGGCCTCGGTCCTGATCCCAACTCCAGCCTCGACCTTGGCCCCAGATGTCACTGGCAGATCCTCCATGGAAGCCTTCTCAGCCTCCCATTCCAGGGCCCCTGGGGCCTCCAGGCCCTCCCCCAGCACCAGCATCATCCGCCATTTGGTGTTTTCCTCAGAGAAAATGCTGTCTACTCTTCAAAGCCTACATTCGTGGGTCCTTTAGCCTAAGTGCCAGTCAGGAACAATCACCCCAGAACCTAATTCTGTGGGGAGCAAAGCCCCACCCTGGTGCCACCCACCATGCAGAGGGCTGCTAAGGCACTTGGGGCTTTTTCTGGCCAATGTTTTCTTGAATAGGTGGTTAAGTTTTGTGGAGGGTTTTTTAAAATACGATCATACATATATGGCTTTATAAACTACCCTTCAAAAACCAAGTATTACCGGTATTTTCATACATATTTACAAATGCCCACACACTGTATAGTGGGGTGTGCGGGACAGTCTTTTGGGAACCATAACCCATCAACATCATGGCTCATTTAATTTATTGGGTCTTTGTCCTGCCAAAAACTGGAGTTGGCATTTCTCTGCTCTGGGAGGACGGGCCTGGGTGTGGATCCCGCTGGGGCCATGGCACCCTCATTTCTCAAGCTGGGACATCAGCAGCCCAGCCAGGGTGGGAGTTAGAGGTCATGCCAAGACCACTATACTGCATGTGGATGGGCTTCAGCCATCTGTCTGGACTGCTGTGGTTCACCTGCATGTGGGGGTGCCTGGCTGTCTTACTGGCCTTACATCTGTCTGTCCGGCGGTAGCTCTTCTGGGAGAAGAAGCTGAGTGGCTTAAACGCCTTTGATATCGCTGAGGAGCTTGTGAAGACCATGGACCTCCCCAAGGGCCTGCAAGGTAACCCCAGCCCCCAGGACGGGTTGGGGGGGGAAGTTAGGAGGGTGACCAGGTCTGCAGGGGGAAGGAAGGGCCCCTTCAACCTCCAGCCTTGGACCAGAGGGGCAGATGCCTGGTTCCTGGTCCTGGAGACAGCTACCCAGAGCAGAGCACAGCTGGGGTGAATGGTGGAGAGGCACTGGACCAACAGGATGCATCTGTCCGGGAGGGTCCTGGAAAAATTCGGGGTGCGATTTTGCTCCTGTACCATAAACACAACCATCCGTCCCTGAGCATATAGGGCTCCTTTTCTGATGTGAGAGCAACTGCCTGCCCGTAAGGAGGGTTTACAAACAACATCCGAGGCTGAGGGACAAAGGCTGCTGCTTAGTAGTGACTGTCCCTCCTGTTCCCCTTCAGGAGTGGGACCTGGCTGCACAGACGAGACCTTGCTGTCAGCCATCGCCAGTGCCCTGCACACCAGCACCATGCCCATCACTGGGCAGCTCTCAGCTGCCGTAGAGAAGAACCCTGGGGTATGGCTCAACACTGCCCAGCCCCTCTGCAAGGCCTTCATGGTGACTGACGAGGACATCAGGTAGCTGCCCTCCCACCCCGCCCTCTCTGTTGCTCGTGGCTGGTGTGTCTTCAAACCTTCAGGGGTATAAGGCCTTTGAGGGTCTTGCTGAGGGGTGGCAGGAAGTGGGCACATGACAGGAACAGGAAGTACTGAGTGAGAAGTGAAGATAGACACATCCTGGGGCTTGAGTGCTGGGCCTGAGTTGGTGGTGCCCAAGTGCAAGTGGACTTGGAGCAAGAGGTGTTCATTTGCTGGAATTTTTGGGGAAGACTTGATAAAGAGGTGGTTTGAACTGGGCAGGAAACATCTAAAAGTGCTGATAGGATAAATATGCATCCTTTAAAATTTAAAATGTCAGTGCACAGCTGAGTTCAAAAGAAGTTAAAAAAACTAGGGACCCCTCCCCAAAGAAGGGACTGGAAACCAGAGCAGGCATGGCCTGAGTAGTGTACAGGGTGAGGTTGTGGGTTTCCTGTCTCGGGAATTGGGAGTTCGAAACTTCGTAGGTATGAGAGAAGCCCCTGTGCTCCATGCAAGGTGAGGACATGGTACTAGGACCCCCCC